CTGGTGCTTTGCAGCATTTGCCTTTGCCAGCCTAGGCCACATTCATACCACACATTTAAACCACTATGATACCACTTTAAACAGTCATGGTTTGCACACATGGATTCTGGGAGCTGTAGTTAAGGGTACTGAAAGCTGTTAAGGAAACCCCTTATGGCCTTCACAGAGCTACAATTCTGGAGTTCCTTCTGAAGAGAGATTGGTCATTAAACTACACTAGGGATGGTAGGTGTAGTTCAGCAACATCCATGGGGTAGGCCAAAGTTCTCCTACCCCAAGCACTTTACAGGGGGGGAAACCCAGTAGGTTCTTAGCCACAGGGCCATCTCCCTAGAATGTCAGGATCCAGAGACTGGGTGTGAAATAATGAGCAGGTTGAGGAAATTCCCAGACATAAAAAACCTCAGATCTCACACTGTTGTTCTTCTTTTTTGACAGCCATCATTATGCTTGCCTCAAACTTGACTTTGGGCTTCTACATCCACTTCATACCTCAATATTCCCATAATTCAGCAATTATGGTTAACAGTAGTAGCCACGAGGGCCTGGCTACCAGCTGGATAAGTGGCCTCACCGTCATCCCTCTGATCGCCACCATGGTCTTCATTGTAGGTATGTTATTGTCAAGAACAGGAAGCCGCCCAGATACTCTCTGAATGTTTTAAGCAGTAGCTTGATGTGGCTTATTATTATTGCAAATTAAATTTATATACCATCCTTCAACTGAGGATCACAGGGCATTTATAGTATAAAATTATGCAAGGTGTGGAGAATGTGGAAAGAGAGGAACTTTTCTCTTGTCTGTCATAATGCTGGAATTAATGGACATCCAGTGAAGCCGAACGTTGGAAGATGCAGGAGAGATCAGAGAAACACAGTAAGATAATTTAACTATGGAATTCACAAGAGGCAATGATGACCACCGGCTTGGATGACTTTAAATGAGTACTGTACAAATTCATGGAGGAAGAGGAGCCTGTCAATGACTACCAGTCATGATGGAAGTGTATTACCTCCAGTACCTGTCACTGAGGAACATGAGTTGGGAGAATGCTGTTGTGCTCAGAACCTGTTTGTTGGCTTCCCTTTGGGGTATGTGGTTGGCCACTATAACAACAGGATACTGGATTAGATGGGCCTTTGCTCTGAGCCAGCAGGGCTCTCCTTATGCCAAAGCTTCCCTACACCTGCTGTTATAGAACAGAACTAAATCAAAATTGACATTTATAGCTGTTTTGGTTTGCCACACTAACATGTTTGAGGAAGGACTAGTCATTCAGCTTTGCCTGAGGCCTCACCTCTTCCAGGTTTTTCATAGGGGCTCCTCTTTCCTGTCTCTAGGTTATGCCATCGGTTGGGGCCCCATCACCTGGCTGCTGATGGCTGAGATTCTCCCACTGAAGGCCCGAGGGACAGTGTCTGGGCTGTGTGTGCTTGTGAGCTGGTTGACTGCCTTTGTCTTGACAAAAGTCTTTCTGTTGGTTAAGGTAAGTAGAGGAAGAAGAGCAGGGTCATCTTACTCATAGGTGCAAGGGGTGCGGGGCACTCAGGCACGGGCTCTCAGGGGCACCAGGCTGAGAGTCTGGGGCCGAGATTTGGAGTCCGGGGATTGGGAAGTGCCGACAGCCGCTGCCGAGTGGAGCAGAGCCCGTCAGAGCGGGCAAGCGAGGTGCTGAGGCAGCTGGCTGACTCCACTCTCCTGCGTGCCTGGGATTGGTGGGCCGTCAAGAGGCCCGCCCAGGGCACACTGCTCACACAAGGCGCCTGGCTTCACTCAGTCACCGCCACCTCGGGCTCGACTGTTGTTGTGCTGGGCTCTCCTTGCCCACCCCTCCCCCCAGGTGCCTGGCCCCAGCCTTGCTCTGCCGCTGCTGCCGCCTCAGGCTCCTCTGTTGCTGCTGAGGTGGCCGGCCCAGCCAGCTCTGCTGTGTGCACCTCACCGGCCCGCCCTAAAAAAATGTCAACAACTTTGGGGTCCCCCCCTAAAAAAGGTCGACTTGGGGGGCGCCAGGTGGATCTTTGGACCCCAGCGCCGCATATGCTTAAGACGGCCCTGAAGAAGAGACTTCATACATGTTGCAAGATATGCCACAGAAAGGGGCTGTGTACGCACCCCCATTCACCTTCAGTGCAGCCCCACCACAATCTGTATCTATCGTGTCATTTCTTATGGAATATTATGGTTTGATGTGTTTTCCCCACAAACCCAGCTTCAGGTGAAACTGAGAAAAAGGACCTAGCGGTGTTTTAAGCTGGTAACATTTACACAGTCCTAACCTGCTTTAACAGTCTGACCCCTGATCCTGGGAACCTTTAGCACCCTTAACAAACTACAGTGGTACCTCGGGTTAAGTACTTAATTCGTTCCGGAGGTCCGTGCTTAACCTGAAACTGTTCTTAACCTGAAGCACTACTTTAGCTAATGGGGCCTCCCACTGCTGCCGCGCCACCAGAGCACGATTTCTGTTCTTACCCTGAAGCAAAGTTCTTAACCTGAAGCACTATTTCTGGGTTAGCGGAGTCTGTAACCTGAAGCGTCTGTAACCTGAAGTGTATGTAACCTGAGGTACCACTGTACAACCCACAGAATCCTTTGGAGGAAACCATGACTGTTTAAAGTGGCATCATAGCACCACCATGGCGCATAGTGGTGTGAATGAAGCCAAAGTCTCAGTACCCTCACCAGGGTCTAGAGCAGGGTTGGGAAATGGTTTTTTTTTACCACAGGGGCCACATATGACTAGTGGGCAAGGCCACAGTCAAAAGTGGGAGCAGCATCTAGGAAATAGATTTAATGCATAAATAAGTACTTTTCACTCTGCCCCATGTCCTCTTTCTCTGCTTGTCCAAAGGATAATTTCTTTTTCTTTTCCAGGCACAGTATGGTCTGGAGGTTCCTTTCTTCTTCTTTGGGGCCATCTGCATAGTGAACCTTATCTTCACGTTTTTCATTCCCGAAACCAAAGGAAGGTCCTTGGAGCAGATTGAATCATACTTCAGGACTCGGCAGAAATAATTTATGGAATCTTTCCACCACCTTAAATGGACTTTCAACATCAATTCAAGTCCTTACAATATAAGCAAATGAGAGACTTTTGAGGCCATGACAGGTTGACCACTGTGACAACTTATTATCCAAGTTTCCCCAGTCCTTAAACTGGGATGGGAGGTGGGGCAGATATAGTGAGATCTTGCTCATATGCATTTATTAATTTCCTTAAAACTGACAGATGCCATGGCAGCTAAGAGGTTGCAATACACAACAGAAAGTTCTCAGCTGGAACCTTGCCTCAGTCACAAACTTATTAAATGGTTGAAGGCAAGCCACTCTCTCTTTATTAGCTCCCTCTGTCTGCAATATGAAAACAATGATACTGACCTACCTTGCAAGGTTATTGTAAGGGCTGCTATTAGGATGTGTGTGAAGCATTTTGAACATTATAAATCAGGGGCTGCTAACATCTGTGAGCCAGTGAGCATATCTGGAATTTTGAGAAAGTGCCATGGGTGCAATTAGTCATTTGTTCATCCCAGGCTTTTCAATGGACTTCTCCATCACTATCCAGACCACACATTCCATTCCCCCCCCTTTTAAAATGGATTTATTTGAACTAGAGCAACTGAGTTCTTTATTTAAGCAAATCTGACATTTCAGTATGTGTTTGAAATCCCTCCTACAAAATATTGGCTAGAGGCACCATTTGTCATTTCCCCATGTGCTCAGCATGGGTCTAGCAGGTTACCTGACAATCACCACACCTATTTTCCTGGTTCATGAGAGACAATGGAAATGGAAAAGAACACTACATTGCTATGGGCCCCAGTCCATAAGATGTTTAGCCAATAGCATTTAAGAAGTCTGTCAAGGACCCAAATCCCACTGACAGAAATAAACAGGGGTTTCTTTTCATATCATGGAGAGCAAAGTCAGAAAAGCCATCTGCTCAGAAAACTGCAGTGAGAGGCACAGCTGCAGGAACCAGTTGAAAAAGTTGGCAGCCCCAACGACCACACCTTGGAATCCAACGCCAAGCATCAGAATGCATTATGTGCATTAACCACAGGCAGCTTTAGCTTTTTAAACTGCATATTGGTTTCATACTACTTCTAAGGAGAAGAGGAAGCCCCAACTATTAATTGAACTAGATGGAGAATGTTTATGTATTTAAAATGTCAGCAAATGGCATTGCATTCTGTTCCTGTATTTGCAGCCCAAGCACACATACGCATATATTTGCTTTAATAGTGCCATATTTCAAATAATGAATAATTGTTTGGCAAAGAAGAGAGCGCAAGAGGGGAATGGAGAAAAGGGGGAGGGCTTTATGGACTAGGTCAGTGGTGTCCAAACTTTTTTCAAAGAGTGCCAGATTTGATGAAGTGAAGGGCCATGAGGGCCGACCAAAGTTGTCAACCTTTTTTCAGGATTGAAGTTGTTGAGGGTTTTTTAGGATTTTACCCCAGGAAATAAATTGGCACAGGGGCAGGATTAAACCGACTGGCGGGCCAGATTAGGCACCCAAAATTGACTTTGGACATGCCTGGACTAGGTTAAGCTCAACAACTACAGAAGAAGTAGGAGCTTTTCAGTAGTACCAAGACTCCGCACAACCCTCATAGCTGGATGCCTCCCCCTCACTTTTGGTCTTTTGAACATTCATCATCCATGTCAGCATACTTTCAAGCTATCTTCTGGAATCGTGATGGTTAGCACTTGGGGTGATTAAAAAGAAAAGCTATGCAAAGCACCCAATTCTGTACTGGGGAACTTTCAGAAAAAGTGAAACACGTGCAATTTTCATGAGATAGGAAGTAGCTCCTCTAAGTCTGAAATAGCTCTGAAAAGATCAAAAGGGTCAGAAGCTCTTTAATCCACAGGAATCAGCTCTATAGAATGTATCCTGCTTTTTCTGTTTCCAGAGTACATTCTTTAGCAGCAGGAAGCACATACATACACAAACACACACATTCCGCTGTAGTAAGTAGCTTTTGAAACTGAATAACTTATTACCAGAGGTAGAATGGTCTTTTTATTCACTGCATACACAAAAAGAGGATCAGTGACAGGCAGGTTCAGTAAACTGGTGGTTGTCAAGGATTCTACACAGAATAAAAACTGGTTTACTCAGATCAACCCTTTCCCCGTAGACCAGTGATGCAAGCCAGCAGTCTCAGCTTCACAGAAGTGGCCCATCCCATTTTGCCAACTGAGGAGAAACGGGAAGATGCACCCTTGCAGCAGCAGCCCCTCAAAGCCTCACTTGCTGGAGTTGTATGGTGACTTCTAGCGAAATCTCCCTGGAAGCCACAGCTGCACAACCCCAGCACTAACCCATGGGATTCCACTGCCTAAGCTGGGCTGCTTCATCTGCCTCATGGGCCCTAAAGCTTCACATCCTTGAAAAGGAGGAGGCCACCTGCTCATGGTTGCTTATCCTGTAGGCCAGAGATAACCAGCCAGTTGCCTTCCAGAATCTTACTTCCAGAATCCCTGGCCATTGGCCATGTTGGCAGGGGCTGATGGGAATTGTAGTCCATGAACATCTAGGGGACATACTCTACACAAAACCCTCCCCTAGTGCATCGTATAATTCACGAGACAGGCGTAAGGACTTCTTCACACAGAACGTAGTTGAGCTATGGATTTTACTCCAGAGAGTTGTTCCGTGAGGGGCACCAAGCAAAGATGGCTTTAAAATGGGTTGGGACAAATTTGTGAAGGGTAATAAGGCTACTGGCCACAGCCGCTATGATGTTGTTGTTGTGGTTAATTGAATTTATATACCACCCTATACCTGCAGCTCTCAAGGCGGTTTACATCCTGCCTCTAAGTGCCAGTTACTGGGAATCACAAGTGAGGAGAGTGCTGTTGTGCTTGGGTCTGTCTTGTGAGCTTCCCACAGGCACCTGGTTGTTCACTATAAGACCAGGATGCTGACATAGATGGGCCTTTGGTCTGATCCAGCACAGCTCTTGCTGAGGCCCCTTAACAGCAGGGGTGGAGAACCTCAGGTTCAGGGGCCAGCTGTGGCCCTCCAGGCCTCTCTAGCCAGCCTTCAGAAAGCTCCCCAAGCCACACCCTTCAGCAGCTCTGCATCACATCCTCAGGTGGTTTTGCCAGGCTGAAATGTGTCCCTGGGTCCTGAAGGTGCCTCTTGCTTGCTTGCCAGGATGGAGGAAAGTAAGGCGTGTGTGAGTGTGTGCTGAAACTCGTCTACTGTACAAATGTTACACCTGTCGTTTGGCCCACTTTTGCCTCTGGTATGTGGCCCCTGAAGGTTGTCAAAAAGGGAATGTGGCCCTCAGGCTGACAAGGGTTCTGTGCCCCTGTACTAGGGTGCATGCACTGTCTTTCAAACAATAACTTTTCATTCCGCCATTAATTACAAGATAAATAAATTTCAGAAGGGACCTAGAATTAAATTATTGCATTTCCATCTGCTTGAAAGATGGTGTTGGTGAATACAAGTGGCATGTTTGTTGCATGCTAAAAAAAAACACCTGAAGGGAAAAAATCAGACAATACTGTGCAATATGCATCCTAGAAACAAGAAAATATTATCCGTTATACAGTACAGTAAAAGAAAAAGAAATTCTTACAATGTAGAATCCAGAGTCTCCAATAATTATTCACAAAAATTAACTATGCCTGAGAAGAGACTGCCTTATTCTTTTATGCTCTTTCAAAATGGCAGTGATCCAGCTTTGTTCAATCTTCAGAGACGGGGTGAGCTTTTTGACAAAGGTCCCTTCCTCTGAAACCTTATCTTTCAACAAGAAACGGGAATCTCTAGCAAAGCATTTCCTCCTAAAGGAAGCCTATACCATCACTTCTTGTTGATAATGCATTTGAAAATACTGACCCTTAGCGGTGGGACACAACATTGCATCTGGCAAGTAAGATTCTCACACGCCCTTCTATCAACTACATCTATAGACTTAATTAATTCTTCACACTATTTCTGTGCCCTACTCAGTTCCCAACTAGCCCCATCTTCCTCTTCCTAAAAAGACAGTGACCTAACACTACTAGACAGAAATTGTTTCCCAGCAAATGAAAGCACCTGTCTCATGTTCTATACCCCAAGAGAACAGATCCCCCACCGGAACAGTTCGAGGAACTCCAAATAAATAATAATAATACATTTTTTATGCTTTCCAAAGCAAATTACAAGGAAAAGGAATAATAAATTAAATTTTAGCTACAGGATATAAATACGGAAAGTGGAATTATCAAGTAGTAAAACAGGTTAAACAGTAGCAAAGAAGATTGCAACTGCGTAGCATTTCAGGGCAAGGAAGTTTTTTCCCAGTTATAAAAAGCAGTGACCAGAAACAAAACTGGCCAGCTGCTTGAACCATTTTACAGTATTGCATTATGGAATCTAAGATTTGTGCTTTTTACATGTACAAAAAATGCCTATAATTGCAGCTCAAGGGGACGGGGAAGGGGCTTACCGAGGCCCTTAACTTGAAATGCTTTGAGGTATTGTAAACCAATAATTCTCTCATGCCACCTCTGGCCATCTTTGCTGCAAAGTGAGGGTGACAGTTCTCTCAAGGAAGCAGGGGGTCCTTTGCTAGACTTTGGGATGGAACAATGGCTGCCCTTTCCACCCTTGGAAGCCAGGATCACTCCAAAAAGTTATCCTTTTCCCCCACAGGAAAAGCTATCCCCCGCCCCCGCTGAAGAATCCTAAAAGGAAAAATACCAAATGCAAACAAACTAAGGGTTTTCAAGTAATTTCTCTCCTTAAGAAAATGCATCTCACAAATCAACACACAGTTTGCTCAGTTCTTAAATTACTAAAGAAATGTCAGTTCTAAAATTACTAAAAAAAAAAGGTCTAAAAATTCATCAGGGGAATAATTTTCTGCAATGCAGGGGGGGGGGAGACTCTAAAGTAGGAAGACAGCAAGGTCCATCAAGCCCCCAAAGTTTGTAACTCTAAGAGAGAACACCAAATCAGAGACTGGGTTGGTGGCTCAAATATTCAATGCTGAGGTCCTAGAATTCATTTGGTACCACATTTTCCAGCTCCCCAAATAGCTTCCCCATCACCCCAAATGTCAAAATAAAATCAAGGCCCAGAATGTAGCTTCTGATGATCTCAGAAGTACCGTATTGAGCTGCTAAAACTGTATCAAAAGGCTGTTGCAACACAGGCGACTAAGAGTCCACCACAGTGATGTGACAAATGGGGCTTGTTCACCCTATTTGGTTCCACACCAACCTGAGAAAGGAGCAGGGTGGGAGAAGGGAGGACCCCCACATTAAATCCTGCCCCCTTAAAGCTGCAGCATATAAGATTCACAGTGTTGCATAAATGTGTTTTTGTTTTTTTAAAAATGTTCTGGGGACAAAGGAGAAGGTATGTTTTCATTCTGCACTCTCCGGCTTGAAATTAGAAGTTTTGAAAGAGTTTCACAGCACAGGATTCCAAGGCCAGTTTCTAAGGCTGGAGTGAATTCCCAAGCTTTGCTTTTCAATGAGATGGGAATGACTGGCCTCAAAAGAATGGCGATGTCACACGGCCTGCGGTTCGACACTTCCTGTCACCCCTTCTTCGTTTGTTTGCTTCCGTTGCAACTGCTGCATCCTTGCGTACGTGATGGCGTCTCCCCTGCAAAAGGCAAAAGACAGCATAGGAGCTTGGAGTGAGTGGTGGTTTTGACAGGCACAGCACCGAAGACGGACCAGCTGAAACACTGGCTGAAACAGGGAGGGAGGGAAAACTCTTCTCTCTTACTTTTTGCCTAATGCTGAAAGTCCATAAAGCACTCCTGTCGCAAAGGCAATGGCATTGCCTAATAAAGTTGTCAGAGTCAGGCTCAGTATAACTGGGAATATCGCCATCCTGGGGGGAAAGAGAGGAAATTTGTGAAGTTAAGGCAGTGTCGTGCTGCAATCCACTTCAACACAGGATGCCTAGCAAAACAAGGACCCAAATGTGGACCAACCATTTGCTGGTACAGGATTTTGTGATCTCAGATTTTTCGCTTCCAAATGGTCACTGAAATGACCTACTGACGTGAATGAACCCAAGTTAGGCATACCCATGAATTACAATGCGTTTTAATCACACAACCAGATTTAGGGTACATACAAACCAGATATTGGAAAGGGGTCTGTGGAGAGGGAAAACATACCCAGCTTCAAGAACCAAAGGCATTCAAGGGGGGAAAGTTTAGAACAATTTGTATTTTAAACATACTGGGTGATATCCAACAGGTCAGTGTCAGAGTAGACTCATTGAAAGTTATTGGACAAATGACTGAACAGGTCTACTCCAAATATGAGATATTGCCCATTAACAACTTTTCTAGGAAGCATACGCCAGGCAACACATATTAACTTAAAAAAAAAATAATTAAAAGATTTTGGCCACATCTGCACCATGCATTTAAAGCTTTATTAGATAAGTTTTAAACAGTCATGGCTTCCCCTCAGAAAAAGAATCCTGAGAATTGTAGTTAGCTGAGAATGTTTAGGAAACCCCCATTCCCCTCACAGAACTACAATTCCCAGAGTTCTTTAATTATCAACCCCTCTTCCCAGGGAGGAGGCCAGCCTCCACCAGGCCTCTTCTTCCTTAACTGTTACTTGAGGGCAGCCATTCCACCCCAGGAAGCCAGGCTCATTTCATCAGCTTTACTTGAGGCCCAGCTTCATCAGGCACCTCCTGACCCTATACAGGATCAGATGGTTAATACAGGACCAACTGTCTAGAAATCTGTGCTTGTGTTTTTTGTTTTCCTCTACCCTCCTTGTCCTTTACCCCTTGTGTGTCATGCATGTTCTTGTTAGATTGTAAGCTTGTGGGTAGGGACATGTCTTGTTTTGTTTGTATTGCAAGCTGCTCTAGGAACCTTTTTGGCTGAAGAGTAGGATACAAATGCTTTTTTAAAATATATATATATATAAATGAACTCTAGGACAGCTCAGTTGGTAGAGCATGAGACTTTTAACTTCAGGGTTGTGGGTTTGAGCCCCATGTTGGATAAAAGACCCCTGCATTGCAGGGGTTTGAACTAGATGGTTCTCATGGTCCCTTCCAACTCTACAATCCTATGATTCTGTGATAGTCATCGTCACCTTCCAAACTACAAAGGGTATGCTTTGTTGTGTTTATCATGGATTTGTTATGCCAGAGCACTTTAATTGTGCAAACTTAGAGCTCTGGTATGCACTTGAATCCCTCTGGCACAATACTGGTAATCCAGAGACACTCCCAACCCCAAGACACACTTACCCGCAGTAGAAGGCACCTTTCTGCCATGGGCGCAGTTTGTCTGCCCTTGCTGACACAGCGTTTGCAAACTCGATGAACTGGCAGCAGAAGGGGGCCTCGCACAGGAAAAGGACGAAGGCATTCAACCTTTGGGGCAAGAAGTCACACTCAAAACCAGAGAGAACTCACCCCATCCATAATGAAAGGGCCCATCTGGTGAACACATGAATTTTTTGCTGGATCAGGCCAATGGCCCATCTAGTCCAGCATCCTGTTCTCACAGTGGCCAACCAGTTGCCTCAACAGGAAACCCACAAGCAGAAGCCAAGGACAAGAGCTGTCTCTTCTCCTGTGGCATTGCAAAGAAGCATTGCTGCTTTGAACTGTGGAGGCAGGGTAGAGCCATCATAGTTTAGAAATCATGGATAGCCTTCTCCTCCATGAATTTACCTAATCTTTTCTTAAAGGCATCTTAAAGTTGGTGGCCATCACTACCTCCTGTGGGAGCAAGTTCTTCTCTACACTGAGAGAAGAAGTCCACCCTTTCATCTGTCCTAAATTATTTGACTTTCAGCCATGTTGGATGACCATGAGTTCTAACATTATAAGAGAGGGATTTAAACTTTTTTCTACCCACTTTCTTCATGCCATGCATAATTTTATGAACTTCTACCATGTCAACTCTTGCTTGCCTTTTCTCAAAAGTACTAGACACCACAGCCAGTGAAACTCTTAGCTGCTTTAGGTTCTAAGCTTTTAACCTTGGGCCAGAGGGCTATTTAGCTAGTACAGTTCGTACCTTGGTTCTCGAACAGAATGCGTTCTGGAATTCCGTTCAACTCACAGAACCGTTCGAAAACCACGGCGTGGCTTCTGATTGGCTGTAGGAGCGTCCTGCAGCCAATCAGAGGCTGCGGAAGCTGCACCGGACTTTCAGCTTCCGAAACTCGTTCGAAAACTGGAACACTCACCTTTGGGTTTCAATCGTTCGGGAATCGTATTGTTCGGGAGCCAAGGCATTTGAGATCCACTGGAATTGGAATGGGCAAATCTGCCAGTTTTGGTTTCTCTCAATTTCTCATTTTTCTGATTTTAAGTTCAGTTCTCTATGTTTCTACACATGTGCAATATTTTCTTTTGTAAAAAAAAAAAGTCCACATGAAAAATCACCCCCAAACTTTTTCCTATGTGCACATTTTGTTATGAATTTTTGCCTATTATTATTCATTTCTCTACTGCTTTATACTCTTAATTAAAAAATCTCAAAGCAGCTTAGAACCGACATTGAAACATCAGATAAAACAATCCAGAATAAAACATTACTAAAGAAATTCAAGTATACATTCAAACAATGATATTTAACAGGAAACTAAAATATTATCTTAAAGATTTCAAAACAGAACATTGCAAAAGAAGCCAACTACAGAATGCCCATTTAACGCAGCAATGTTAACAAACAAATTATCTTAAAGATTTCAAAAGAAAACATTAATAATGTCAAATATAAAATGCACATTTAAAACAGCACAACTAGCAAGAGAATAAAAAATTACCTTAAGCATAGAACATATCTGCTGCTGTTGCTGCCAATCCTGCCATTGGTGGTTCATGGCAGGCAGCGACTGTGGAAGCTCAGGCTCAGTGACCTGGGTCTGGACTAAGAGACAGCCAAGACGGCAATTTCCCCATATACAGTGGTACCTCAGGTTACATACGCTTCAGGTTACAGACTCCGCTAACCCAGAAATAGTACCTCGGGTTAAGAACTTTGCTTCAGGATGAGAACAGAAATTGTGCTCCAGCGGTGTGGTGGCAGCGAGAGGCCCTATTAGCTAAAGTGGTGCTTCAAGTTAAGAACAGTTTCAGGTTAAGAACGGACCTCCGGAACGAATTAAGTACTTAACCTGAGGTACCACTGTATAAAGCATTTTTATATGTTACTTTCACTGATCTATGTACTGATAGGCAGACTTTACCTTTGTCTATGCAAATTTGGACACATGAGCTGGCTGGAAAACTGCACTGCAAAATCCAGAGAAGCACAAATTTCAATATTTGGCTGTTTTTCAGTTCTCGTTGTTTCAGAAAGTGTGGGTGTGGTTGGTGTGCCTTTAAATGCAGCCAACCCTCCAGGTACGGTGATTGTTAGCTTGGTCTGACTCAATTATGTTTTCTTGGGTTCTGTGCTTTATTTTACTTCTACTTTTAAGTGTTTTAAATTTTGTAGTGTTTTAAAAGTTTTCCAGTTTGTAGTGCATTGTTGTTTTAAATCTTCCACCTTGCTTGCCCTGGGGCATTTACTCAGAAAAGTGGCTTTAAAATATTTTCAATTAAAATTGCATAGAATAAACTGGCAGCAGCTCTCTGGGATTTAAGAGCAAGAGACTTCCCAGCCATACCTAGAGATGTTGGGAATTGGACCTGGGACCTTCTGCATGCAAAGCAGATGCTCTACCACTGAGCTATGGCTCTTTCCCTAGAAATAAGGTAAGATTCTAGTCCTCGTGGTTCTGAACAAATGGCCAGTTGACACATGGAATTGCCTAGTCCTCAGTAAGACCCCATGTCCGTCTAGCTCAGAACTGTCTACATTGATTGACAGTGGCTCTCCAGAGTATCAGACATTCCCAGCCCCACCTGGAGATGCCAGGGATTAAGCCTTGCTCTACCAGTAACCTGTGGCCCTCTCCCAAAGCTACTCTGAACGGTTTTCTATTTTCGGAGCCACAGGGACTCAGCTGCAAATACAGCCATACCTCATGTTACGTTTGCTTCAGGTTGAGCGTTTTCAGGTTGCGTCCTGTGGCGACCCGGAAGTACTGGAAAGGGTTACTTCCGGGTTTCGCCACTCGCGCATGCACAGGTGTGTAAAATGACGTCACACGCATGCGCAGAAGCGGTGAATCGAGACCCGCGCACATGCAGACACACAGGTGCGGATTGCGTTCTGCTCATTTTGCAAACGGGCCTCTGGAACGGATCCCGTTTGCAACCATAAGTACCACTGTATAACGTTTTAAGTGCATTTTAAGTGTATTAAACAAATGTGACACTAGGTGGCACTGGTGAGCTAATGGCAAATTCCATATATACTTTACTACTTTTTTTAATTAAAAAAAAGCACTTTCACAGTGTTTTTTATACCTGTGTAGATTCAGCCTGGGGGTGGGTGGGTTTGGAACTGGCAGGAAGGCCAGAGACTGTGCTGAGTGGGCAGTGCAATGGCCACACATCCCACCAGGACAAATCATTCATTGCCTGCCTCTGCATTTGCAACAGACTTTTATCTCAGCTGGTGTTGACTTGCATAACCCCGGTACTCGAAACAAATAGTCACCGCAAAGGAAGTCAAGTTTACTTACATCATCCAAACGCCAGCTGCGATGTTGAGAGGGTGGATGGTCACACAGTTAAAGAGGCCAGCAAAGGCACACGCTGAATGGACAAAGCAGGTAGAAAATGTTAAGATCAGCCCTGGTGGGTCAATGCATCCTGTTCTTACAGTGACTGACCTGATTCCTCTGGGAGGCTCCCAAGAAGGTCTTGAGTGCAACAGCACACTCTGTCTACTTGCATTTCCCAGCAACTGGTCTGTCTACACTGGTATATACTGGGGTGTATGAGGTGTTAGGGTAGGGGCAGTACCTCTGGCAGGGGAAATAACATGCTACTTCTGGGGTGGCTTGTCCACTTACCCCCCTCCAGCTCTCACCTGTAGCTCCTAGAACAGGGGTCTGCAACCCATGGCTCCGGAGCCGCATGTGGCTCTTTTACACCTTTGCCGCGGCTCCGGGGCGGATACTAGTGAGGGGAGGAGGCGCATTGTGCGCCCCGACACTCCCCACTGTGGCGGGTGCTGTACTGGCTGTGACGTCGCATGGGGGCGGTGCGTGCATTAGGCACGCACCGTCCCGACTTCACCTTCCCAGTTTTGCGGCTCCCAGGTTTTTTTTTCTTCGGAAAGGGGTCCAAGTGGCTCTTTTTGTCTTAAAGGTTGCAGACCCCTGTCCTAGAAGTTGCCAGCATGTGACAGTGGCCACAACCCAGGAGCAGCTTCAACTGGCCAGCTAACCAGGTGAAGGTAGCTGATGGGTCTCAAACCCTTGGTGAGTCAGGGACTTCCCCTGCATGTGAAGACAGGCTCTGGTGGATTGAATGGATCAGACCAATACTGGGTCCAATAGTCAAGAAGGTGTTTTGCATTCATGTTGTAGGGAGAAGTGAGGGGCAGATGGGGCTCATCAACCTAGGAGAGCCAGTGTGGTGTAGTGGTTAAGAGCAGTAGACTCGTAATCTGGAGAACTGGGTTCGCGTCTCCGCTCTTCCACATGCAGCTGCTGGGTGACCTTGGGCTAGTCACACTTCTCTGAAGTCTCTCAGCCCCACTCACCTCACAGTTTGTTGTGGGGGAGGAAGGAGATTGTTAGCTGCTTTGAGTCTCCTTCGGGTAGTGATAAAGCGGGATATCAAATCCAAACTCTTCTAGGAAGTTAGCCTATCTAGCTGAAGAAAAACTCTGATCCTAAAGCTCCACTGTCTTGTGGGATATCTTCAGGGGGGCGGGAAAGGCTAAGGAGTAAATCCTACACAAATTTGGAGTCCCTAAGATGGATGGATGGCACCTCACAGTCCTCCTTCCAGCAAATCCTGCAGCCAAGCTGGTGCCAAACATATTGCTCTGCTTTCTTCTGGACCACATCGGCAAGGCTGAGAGGTTTGTAATCTGGGCAACCCAGGACCCCCAAATACTGCCCAGGCTTGCACATCACAGAAGGTCACAGCAGTTTGACTTCACTCCAAGAGGCACACTAACAATGGTATTCACTGCTTCCAGCAGTGGAGGTAGAACATCGGGATCCATACCCTTGTCCTCCACGATTTTGTCTACGAATCTTCTTTTAAAGCCATCCAGGTTGGTTGTCATCACTACATCTTGTGGGAGTGAGTTCCACAGTTCAACCATGGATTGTGAGAAATGAAGCTGCAACATGACATCACATGATGATGATCACAAAATGTTGTGGCTATTCTGAGGACAGGTTCTGACACCGGGGGCTAGTCACCTGCCTAAGGTTACGCTCCGCTTTCATAGCAGAGGAAAAACTTTGATGTGATTCTCCTGGACGTAACCTGACTGGGTTCTAAGAGCTTTGAGAACTGGACGTTTGTTCTCTACAAACTCTGACAATGTTTCCAAAACTAATTTTTGTAGGGGTTTTTTGGGGGTGGGGTGGGAGAATTGAGTGCATCTGTGTGCATCTGTTTTCTTTGTGCCATTATTTCTTGTCAACTCAGCTCTGTTGGCCCTTGTTTTTTCATGAGCAGTGTCGCATAATACTGGGATTAAGTTACCTGCTGACGACCGCGAAAGGGGTCTGATGCTGTATCGGATGCAGAGAACCTTGCTGCAAGTTTAATGAGGACCAAATCCCAGGTGGTTCCAAGGCTTATTTTCGGACTGTTCAGGGCATAGTTGCTTTTTTGTGTGGGTTGGGAGGGGCAGGGGGGAGTGCTGCCTTTAAAAGCAGCCAAAGGTCTGAGAATTTTAGCAGGTGAAACTTTCCCTAACAAGTGGGGAGGAGAAGCAGAGAGTGGAACCCAGCCAAATTCTACTATAGCCAGAGCCAGCTCACCCATGAAGCTAGGAGAATAGTGGCTGGGACAATGAATGTGAATTTTTGTACAGTAGGCCAGATTCTACAGCCTCACACTCCCCTCTCTAACCTCCATATGTAGACATGTAGGAAGCATTATCAGAGTTCAAGGGGAAAAACTCTCCTTGATATTTGTTTGAAGGGGACCCTGTGTGTGCCGCAGTTTCAGCACCCAGCCTCCGCCGGAGTGCTTGGCCTCCTTCTGAGGACATGAAGTTGCACATGAATCGTGCCTGTGATGTCGGGCCCCCTCAATCTTGGGGGCAACCTGGTGCCTTGGCTCAAGGAGGGGTCAACACTTGGCTGGTGAGGGATGTTGCATGAAGAGAGATCCAAGGAACAGAAAGAGTGGCCTGGGGGTCAGGAATACCAGCTTGACGAAAGATTACTCAACAAGTTTAAACATAGGGAGCAAAGTACAGCAGCAGCAAAGTTCAACCCCGCTATCAGGTGTGCCCTAAACCATGAGTAAGAAATCACATCACAGAGAAGCAACTGGGAACAGGTATCCAGGGCTGGGTGCAACAAGGAAGAAGTTCTTTCAAGTCGTAAGCAAGTGTCTCAGGCACTGTCCCCAACTTAATCAGCCTTTGCAAAACGCTTTTTAAAAACACTGACTTCTACAAAGGTAAACTCTGCTTAGAAATGCAAACATACCAGAGAACGAGCAAATGGGCTCTGCAACAAAATGGTACAGCACAGAGTGCTCCTGTACCCAGTTGGCTGGGCAGCCATGCCCTCCATTCCATTCTTGAATGAAGAGAGGGTGAATGAAGAGTTTCATTCCATCTATCTGTTTTTATTTATTTGAATGTTTCCAGGCCACCTTTTAGAGCAACACTCTTGCAAGGCAGCTTACGGCAAACACAAAATGCAATATTACATTTCGATTAAAAACAAAAACAAATCAAGAACCAGTCAAACCAGGTCCCTTAACTAACCCACAGGCTAGCAAAGGGCCATTGTAGTGAATGAAAACAAACTTAATATTAGAAAAAAGCCAGCAACAACACAAAACTAAAACAAAAGTTTCAGGCCAGTTGCCCTATTAAATCTTTCAAGGAAAAAGATCCTGGAAATGTGTGGTTTCTATATAAAAAGTCCAGCTGCACTGATGGCAGACATATGCAAATAACTTGAAAGGGTGTGTCACAAGCATGGAGTCACCACCAATAAGGTCCCAGTTCTCATGCCCCTGCCTCACAGAGCTACAATTCCAGTGTGGTTTAATAGTTGATCCCTCTTCACAGGGAACTCAGGGAACTGTAGCTCTGTGAAGGGAATAGGAGGTCATCTAACAACTCTCAGCACCCTTAGCAAACTACAGTTCCCAGGAGAGAGACCACTGGCTGAGCTTAGACTAGTTGTTGTCTCCCAGCCTCACCTACCTCACAGGGTTGTTGCGAGGATAAAATGGGGAGGGGGAGAGCCTTGAGCTCCTTTGAGAAAATGTGGGATATTAATATATATATTTTTTAAAAACCAATGAAGTGACTCTGAGTAACTCAATCAAACACCAAAATGAAATGCAGAAATACAAACATTTGCTAATGCAAAATAGGCACTACCCTGTTGCACTTTTGATCTGTTTTGCATATTGCACACCCTGATGTAGGTATTTATTTACCTACTAACTATATTTAAACGAAGGCAGTAAAGAGGTTAGTCCTCTTGACAGCTCACAACAGAAGAGTGACAAAACATGTTTTTTTATATAAAAAAAAACCCACCCCAAAAACATGTGTACAAAAAGTTTGCAGTGCTATTCCCCCGCCCCCTACAGGAGAGAAAATTAAAGCAAAAATCCCCAAAGACACAAAATCAGCCAGTCGGTGCAAAGCAAGCCCCCAGCATAGGTGGCAAATTGGGTCTTGAGACTGCTCTGGAGGTGCGGGGATAGGGGAATCACTGGAGGAAAAAACTGTGGGGTGGGAGGAGTAAAGGAAATACTCACAGATGCCCCCAATGATGCCAGCCAGTCTGCATAACCACTTGTACCACCAGGTCATCCCATCATCATCATCGGTGGAAGACGGGGTAGCAGCAGCAGTAGCTGCATCTGACTGAGGCTGCTCTTCATGGGAATTCATCCTGCCTTTGGGTATGTGTGTTAAACGACAGGTAAATCCACCTTTCTCCTCTGCTGCTTGCCGCTGTAATTTCTCCCCCGCCCCCAGCACTGGGCAGGATCCTAGTCCTCAGCGCATCGCTGTACACCCACTGCCCACCCACTGTCCCTTTAAAAGCAGCTCCAGCTGACAATGGAGACAGCCCCGCCCACCCCAACCAGCTGTCCCCCCCAAGCGTCTCCCTTTGTATTGCATTCTGGGTCCCCTCCTCCTCTGCAAGAGGATGAAGTGGGAGGGGCTGTCTACATCTCTCATCCATAGACTTAAGGAGGGGAAAGTAGACTGACCTTTGTTTGTTAAGGGCTGCAACTCCCTTGTTAAGTTTGAAGCCACTTAATAAAACTGCCTCCAAGTGTTCCTATTTTCCAGGGGTGTCCTTGATTTAAAGAAGCTGCCCCAATTTCTGACTTGATTCCAGAATGTCCCACTTTTCCTTAGGATGTCCGTGTTTTCATTGGAGAAATGTTGGAGGGTATGGAGTTATCTGACCCCCGAGTCGTCTGAAGGCAATCCTGTATAGGGTGGTTTTTGTTTCGTTTTTTGGTAAATGTTTAATGTTTTATTATGTTTATATATACAGTGGTACCTCAGGTTACATACGGTTCAGGTTACAGACTCTGCTAACCCAGAAATAGTGCTTCAGGTTAAGAACTTTGCTTCAGGATGAGAACAGAAATCGTGCTCCGGTGGTGCAGCGGCAGCGGGAGGCCCCTTTAGCTAAAGTGGTGCTTAATCCGAGGTACCACTGTATATATTGGAAGCTGCCCAGAGTGGCTGGGGCAACCCAGTCAGAGGTATGGAGTATGTTCCTACAGTGTTGGAGGGTATGCTATAGGAAACTGGTAGCTGAGAGATCTCACACCCCTTTTAAAAAAAAGAAAAAGAAAGGGGGAGGAATAGCAGCAAATACATAACGATGTTTATGCTCTTTCTAAGATGTGATGCTGAATTTTCATGTGAAGTTGAATTTTGAAACATGTTAAAATCTTGCCTCTCAGTGCAAATGGAAGGAGATGCTGGTGCGGTGTGATGGTTAGAGCAGAGCTTTCCAAACTGTGTGTCACAACACTTTAGTGTGTCGGCTGCAGTGTGTAAGTGTGTCACGCGAATGCTCCCGCCACGCTCCTCTAGGGGCTGGAAAGGTTTAACCTCTGGTTTGCTAGTAAAACTGAATTACTGTGTCACGAAATGATGCATTTCTAAAAAGTGTGTCACCAACATGAAAAGCTTGGAAAGCTCTGGGTTAGAGTGCTGAACTAGGATATGGAAGTTTTCAAATACCCATTCAGCCATGAAGCTCACTGGGTGACTTTTGGGGCAGTTAATTCTCTTAACCTAACCTCTGCCTCACAGGCTGGTTGTAAGCAATGCTTTTTTTCCAGGGGGTACTCAAGGGTACCTGCACCTCTTTTTCTAGATAAAAAGGACTGGTTGTGAGGATAATGGGAAAAAGAGAACTATTTACACCACCTCACATGGGTACAGCCAGACTTTATGTTGGGGGGGGGGCAGAACCAAGTTGTCTGCAATGCAATTGGTCGGTTAGTTAAGCATTTTTATTTGTTTACTTGGTTTAGGGGGCAGCGCCCCCCCCCCGCTACACCCATGCCACCTCAGTTTTAAGAATATTTTTCAGACAGTCTCACTAATCCGCTTCCCAGGGACCACCAGACACACTTTGTTCAGAAGGAGTGTTGGGAGTAAAGCAACACTTGTAATAAGTTGCAGCATTATCAAACTATTTATTCCTTCACTCTGCTGTGTACACACACAGACTCAAGGCTGTTGCCACTGCTAGTGTTGCTCGCTAATCCCTCCTACCGCCTGCCTGCCCCTCCACCCTCTCACAGCTCCTGTCTCTCTCCATCCCTGCATCCTTCAATTCTTACTGTTTAAAACCACAATTTTAAAACTTCCTTTCTCTTCTGCTCCCTTCCCCCACCCTGACCAGGCAAATCCAGAAGTGTGATGCAGCACTACAAATCCTCCGATGGGAGCTGTATGATGACAGCTTTTGATTTTTAAGTATATAGGAAAATATATACCAAACTCCAACACTATTTGCCTCACATTCAAAAGTTGGAAAACCTGCATTTGCAACTGAGTCTACACATCCTCCAGCGTGCCATGGCCAAGCCTGTATGTGTAGTGAGTGTAGATGCATAACACACACAACTGCAAACATATTTGAACACACTGCATTTTTCAATATACTGTATACACCTCATCTATAAATCACAGGCATTTGGAATAATAATTTCTAGGTAGAGGACAGCAGAGATTGGCCAACTCAGGCTTACATGATACAGTACACAGGTGCAGGGATTATTAATTTCAGGCTAACAACTTTTCATATAAAGACTTTATTGGCAGATCTCCAAGAGGTATGCGTATGTTGACTTTAGCACATGAGAGGAGCAGGACTAACCCTGCTCGAAAACAACAGCAGCAGCATTTGAAGGAAAAATAATTGAATCGGTGGAGATCCCCACCTGAGACAGTGGCAGAGCCAGGGTGAGTTCAGGCATGAGAAGCCCCTCCCTTCCACAGCAATGGGAACAGGTGCAAAAAGAGAAGGGCTCCTGCAACCTCTAAGAGTTTTTCAGTGGATATCACTTTTCATCCCTCTTACAAGACAAACTGTGTTTATTAACTCTCCCTGGCTATATAACCCTTGGATGAACAGTTGCCCTTGAAACAACTTGAGGCTGTGTTTATTTGGGCAAAGTTACCCAGTATTCTGCTTGGAAACCGACGCTGGCAAAGTCTTTGCTGAATTCAATTTCGGCCCTGCTCCCAACTGACTCCCAGTAGAATGGCTGGTTTCCATGGAAAACTGCGGTCTTCATGGCATTGACATCTCGGATCTGAAGAATGGAAGGTCAGGTCAGCCAAAGACCCAGAAACGTGACATCCACAACAGTTAAACTATACTTTGCAGTGCAGAGTTAAACCATGGAACTCACTCCCACAGTAGGCAGTGGTGGCCATCAACTTGAGCAACATTAGAAGAGAAGTAGACAAATTTAATGGAAGAGAGGGCTATCAATGGCTACTAGCCATGTTGCCTATGCTCTAACTCCACAGTTGGAGGCAGCAATGCTTCTGAACATCATTTGCTGGAAACCACAGGAGGGGAGAGTGCTCTTGTGCTCGGGTTCTGTTTTCGGGTTTCCCACAGATACCTGGTTGGTCACTGTGAGAACAGGATGCTGGACTAGGTGGGCCATTGGCCTGATACAACAGGCTTTCTTTTATGTTCACAGTGCCTAAGGATTCCTTCATTTCTCCAGTTTTACTTTACATTCATTTTGATTTGTGCTTATGATGGTATCAGGAGGGTTATACACGACCACACTTTTGCACCTGCAGATGTTTCGAGACGGACCTACTGCTCCATTTCCAGTCAGCACATGTCCCATAAAATTCCTGCTGAAATCATGTAACTTTTCACACCACAAACGTTCTGGTTTATTTATTTATTTTGTCCTACATTTGTTGCATTGGTGGTGGGTTTATCCTGGACTGTTCACACATTCTTCTGCTTTATTGGTTGTTCTGCAATGCTTCCCCAAAATGGAACCACACTATTACTACCTGGAAGGGTAACTCTTCTGCTACAGGGCAACAAATGTGGGATAAAAAATAAACCAGAACATTTGTGGTGTGGAAAGTTACATGATTTCAGGGGAAAAACCAACAACAACCCAAACCTAGTATGGATTCTGGAGGGGTCCCAAGAGTGGCTCTTCCACCATAAATGTCCAGGATAGAAGCAGCATTTTAATGGAAAAGGAGCAGAGATGGGGGGAGAAAGAAAAAGCAGAAGACAACAACAAAATCTGATTGCATGTTAGAAAATAGCCTCCTGTACAAAGGTAACATTTGCACTCATTGCTCCACACACTTTTGCCTCTGGCTCTGCTCACCATGGGTAAATGGCTCCCAGAAAGTTGTCCAGGAAGGAATGCAACCAATAGGTCAGTGGCGGACTTTCGTAATATGTCGCCCTGAGTGAGAACAAAATCTGGCTTGCCCTTCCCACCTCCCATATTTTTTATTTTCACAATAATTCCTTTTGGTACAGTGGATCTTCTCAGTAGGTACCCATATGAATATAGGTTGTTGTTGTTGTTGTTTTGCACCCCCATGGCTTAGCGCCCTGTGCGGAAGGAACCACCCACACCGCTGTAAATTGAGTGCTGATCAGGTTCCCCACCCTTGCGTCTGATTAATGTTTTGCTTTTATTCTCCTAGTGTGTGACACCTGGACCCTTACTCTGTGCAGTTTTCTCACCGAGATGTAACTGGAGTGTGTTTGGTTGGAGTCAGCTGTTGGGTCCACATATGCAGCGTGAATGGCAATGCGATGCCTTGGAGCCACGTCAATAAATGTCCTGCAAGCCCCTTGTTGTTCCCAGCCTGCCAAAGGCATAGGGGTCACTATTCTCCCACTGGGACCGAACAACTGCACGTCGCAATCTGTGGTTAAGGAAATGGATGCAGAAGAGAGCAATGAGTCCAGGAGTTTGTGGTAGAGTTTTACTTGTGCTTTAAAACTTTAAAAATGTTTTTGAAAGAGAATGCCTAGCTGCCCTGGAAAAATGAAAGCAATCCAGGAACTCTCCTAGACCAGGGGTCAGCAGACTTTTTCAGCAGGGGGCCAGTCCACAGTCCCTCAGACCTTGTGGGGGGCCGGACTATATTTTTTTGTGGGGAAATAAATGAACGACTTCCTATGCCCCACAAATAACCCAGAGATGCATTTTAAATAAAAGCACACATTCTACTCATGTAAAAACACCAGGCAGGCCCCACAAATAACCCAGAGATGCATTTTAAATAAAGGGACACATTCTACTCATGTAAAAACACACTGATTCCTGGACTGTCCGCGGGCCAGATTTAGAAGGCGATTGGACCAGATCCAGCCCCCAGGCCTTAGTTTGCCTACCCATATCCTAGACTATCCCTTCCCAAATGCCTCACTCTGTGAAAGGACCCGCTTTCCCTTCCTCAGAGCAAGGCAGAGACAAAGTAGCAGTGAAAACAGACTGTAGTTGCATTACAAGAACAAAACATTAAAAGCAAGGGAAGTGGTACGCTCCCATGGGTGAGTGCACTGCCCAGTGGTG